ATAAATATTTGAGACATCTAATTGAGTTCAAACAAATTGACTAACACTTTGTTCTAAGAAAGACATTGAAATTTCATCGTGATAATTAAATAGGCAAATGATTTCGGATTGAATTGAATTTTTACAATAATGATTTATGAATCAAGACTTACAAAATAGACGGTTCGGATCGTTAAACTTCAATATTATAATATATATAATATTGAGATAGGATCAAGGGACAAATTTTGACAAACATTTTTACACTCCTTTATAGTCTTTAGACCTTATAACATCCAACGGTCTTGACTAAGAGTGATGCGGAGATTTTTAAACATTAAATGACTTGGATGATGACGTGGATTTTAACTAATAAGAAAAACACTAATTCATACTGGTTAGGATGATAGAAATTTATAGATGTCTAATTTTATTCATATGTGTATTCTTTTGTATTTGTTTTTTTTTTTTTTACAGGTGCAGAAGTAATGATTAAATGCTTTATTTCAATAGCAGAGTAATTTACTTGTATAAATCAAGTAAGGTGGCCATCTCTAATGCTTTATTTCATTGGCATACCGATTATAACATAAGTAAATGACTAAATGTTTAAAATGCAATACAATTTTACTTAAGATCACATACTTAAGAGCGCATAATGACAGCGATTAAGAAAAGACTTCGTGCATGAGCAGTTAGCTCGTGCAAAAAGATTAATAGAAATAAATAAATGATTACAAAGAATTTACTCCTGAACACTATTAAAAAAAATTGAGCTAAATTAGTTATACAAACACCTTCATTGTCGTTGAAACCATGTTTGATACAAGTCCCTTATTCGATTTTTACATAGACAAAATAACATAATAATAGATTTTGAAAGTGGTGTGTAGGCTCCGTCACACATAGGAAAAAACAAGAGATTATAATTGACCGGCGTGTCCACAGGGCACACATCTTGTGGATTCCCTCTTTTTTTTTTTTTTCCTTATTCTTCAACAAAAAAAAAATATATATATTTATAAAGGTGTGATATTCAACTTTTTTTACTTTTCGCATATCTCTTCTTAATTTATATCATTTGATATTATTTAATGCAGCTGATCTGACGGTTGCAAATTAAAAAAGTGTGTAGAAAGTAAAATGAGTGTTTGGATAGTACACCCCTATTTATATTTCAAGCATTGAGAAAATTGAAGTAATGGCTCCAGTTGAGTTAAGCTATTGCTATAATTTTTTTCATTTGGTTACCATGTTTGCTCCTTCATTTTAGCCTCACGTGCGTGCATGTGACTCATTTGAACGAAAGTCTTATGGAGTTGAGGAAAATAATTAAAGCTGCACGTTTTGACTAGTTAAAGGACCAACAATCAATAATTTTTAATTGAGAATGTATTATTTCAATTATATTAAAATTGATGGACTATTGTTATAATTTCCTCTACCAAGTATTAGAGAGTGGGTCCACTCCACTTTGATTGGTTGAGAAAATTGCAGCAGGGAGAGCAGCAGCTCATCAGCAGGCTGGGGAACCTGGTTAGGTTTGGCACCAAACTTGCAGATCTCCCGAGCCTCCCAGACACGCGTCTTCACCTGATTGGCAAGGTTTTAGATGTGACTTTATAGTCTAATACTATGGTTTCATCTTCATTTATTTATTTTCGAAGGGGACAATCGAAACAAAATTGAGAGTTGGGACATGGGTTTCCGTAGTTACGATTGTAGTACTTTAATATCTTTTTTAATAAGCATAAAATCCAAACTCATAATTTTCCTTGATTCATAATTTTACAAAAGTAATTACGATATTTACAAGAAAATTCAAACTCGAGTGCATAAGAAGAACATATAAAACCTAACTAATGTGGTTATACCTGATAAACTTTTTAGGTCTAATATGGTTCATCACTAACACGACAATTGTTAGTCCAACTTAACCACTTATTATTAAGTGTTGGGTTTTATCACAACAACATCGATGACATAAAAAGTGAAATCTATCAAATATTAATTGTATAATAGGTAATGCTAAGGAGATTAAAATTTTAAACTAAATTATGTAAAGTAAATGATATTGTTGTTGATGATTGGATTATTACTTAAGTGTTAACGTGCTTATTTCTTATTGATGACATATCATTTTGTTTGCAAATTTTGTTTAAAAATTTAATCTCTCAAATATTATCTTTGTATCTAATTTTCACTTATGTATTATTGTTTGAGATGATTAATGAAATACTAATTTGTTTGTCAAAAAAATAAAATAAATAAATGGAGGCGTGAAGTGAAAAGATAACTTTGTTGACTTTCTTTGTCTTTTAAAGTCGATGTGTACTGTTCTCTTTCGGTATCAAATGCAGGAGTAGGATTCTCTTCCCTTTTATTTTCATCCCCTTTCCTTCCCTCATCTTACATATTGTTTTTTTGTCTTATTGTCTTTATAAAAAAATCAATACAAGATGTTGACATGACTAAACTATAACCGTTCAAATAGAAAGACAGGGAAGGGGAGAGAGATTATGCCTCCCCAAATGCATCATATTATTCAATGATATAGTAAATATTACATCATTATGTGCAATATGTTAAATTGAAAGGAAATTGTGTTTTAAGACGAAAGAAAACAGCCTAAAAGTTATGGATCTAATTCATACACAAAACCAAAAGTCCTTTCAAGCGAAAACATATGTAAGCCAACACCTGAGAGATTTTTCATGTACCTATCATATAGATCTCGTATGTAAATCCACACAAAACTAATATTGCTTTAGACTCTAGAAAAAGTTGATTCATAAATTCTAAAAGTTTAATCATTATTACATAGACGAGTCGATAGACTGCATTAGAGATAAATCATACGCATGTCTTACATGTTAACGATTCATATCTTTTATTCACATGAAATTACCAAATAAGGGGTGGGTGGGGTGTTAAGGGGCGACTATTATTAATTAAACAATATTCAATAATTGTGACTTTACAAGAAATTATGAAGTGGTTGCGTATCAAATGAGAAAAATTATGGTTATACACATTGCAGATAAATTAAAGAAAGACTACCTAGTGACAATCGCCTAATAAGAGTAATGAGACTTTATCAAGAGAGAAACTTACATGCAACATTTGGTTGTGTACAACAAGGTGATTCAAGTGATGCAGAGAGATGAGTGCTAATAACTCTATTACAGTCTATATAGATGTGGTCAATGAATTAAACAGCTGTATTAGAGATGTGGTGAGTAAGTTAAACGACTTTATTACAGTTAGTTAAACAGTTATAATAGAGATGTGGTCAACAATGTCCTCAAATTGCAAAATACCTCAATTCCGGCAGCAATTGCAGATTAATTGCATCATCAATCACTACCAACGTGACCAATAAACAAACCATAATTAGGATATGAGGAAACACACAAGCAAATCCCAAACTGAATCCAAAATAAAATAAATAAAATAAAATAGGAGAATAACAGGTAGATATGGATTTTATACTATTATACGACAATCAATATATTAAGGGAGCTAAAATATTTACACACACTGAGAGGGGGTCCGAGCGTGACTGTCAAATCTACATATACTCTCTCGCTCTCTCTCTCTCTCTCTCTCAAATTTTCAGAATTCAGAGGTGTTGTGTTCTGTTCTCTTCTCCTCTCTTTCTGTTCCGGAGATTCGATTCAATCGCCGATCTTTTGCAACGTTTTCTCGGATTCCGTCGTCGTCTTCCTCCTCTTTCATTCAATCTCTGTCTTTTCGCAGACTAATGTTCCAGATTGCCAAGGTACGAATTTTATAATATTTTATTTTAAGTATTTGGAAAACCAGGTTGAATAAAAAAAACAAAAACAGAAAAGGATGTCTCTTTTCTTTTTTATAGCTGAATTATATGTGTTTTTTGGTATATTGAATTTATGGGTTTTGTTCAATTTTCTTCTGCTAACACATTGACCATATCGGGTTCTTGTTTTTCATCCAAAGTTCTAATCTTTGTTGTGGATTTTTGGAGTTTTTGGCTCTTCCTTAAATTTGGATTGTGCAATTTTATAATTATTTATTAAAGGCATTATTCTTTTTCTTAGTTTATTTAGTATTGTTTTCCACTTCTGGAGTTTTTATTCTTCTTCAACTGCAAATTTTCATGCGCCTCTGATTTCCCAATTAGTCCATGTTTAATTTATTTATTTGTGAATTAACAGATTTAATTTAGTTCTTGTATTTTTGTGGGTAAGGATCAAAGAATGCTGTTTGTGTCTGCAGTAGTAGTCCTCTCATGGCCTCATCTTCTCTGCATCATTGGCTGAGTTTTTTATTTTTAATTTAATTTTTGGGTGTTTGAGATTCTTCTTTGGGAACTCTGAGCTTTAGGTGGGTTTTTTCTTAGTACATTATAAAAGGTTCCTTTTTATGGAATGGGATCTGCCTTTTCCCATCTCATCATAAATAACGCAACAACAATAATAGTAAATAATAATAATAACAGCAAAACTCATGTCTGTTATTTGATTCTCATGTGAAAAAGAACCCTTGGAGGTCAATATTTTTTCCACAGAAATTGTCTCATGTACACTTATGTTCGGGAAGTGATTCTCGCACTCTCATTTTTTTTTGTCTTTGGACACTCGTTAAAGTATAACCAAGGAACAAAAACAAGGTAGATAACTGCAACAGAAGGCGAAAACGAGAATACGGAAATCACTATCCTAGATTTTCTTAGCGTGTTTTGGTTATTAGTGCAAAGCATGTTCGGATAAGAGGTTATAATTAAGGGTGCCTTTGTTTGCTAGCTTTTAGTGGATTGGACTAAAAAAGTTAGGGAAGTCTTATGTTTATTAGTCGGACCAAATTTAACGGGATTAGGACTGCTAAGCCGCCCTCTAATCCCGTCCTCTCCCTTCTCCTACGCACCCTCGCGCATCAGCCGCAGCAGCTGCTCCCTTGTCGTCGTCTTCTCCTTTTCACCTTCGCCCTCTCCCTTCTCCTTCCTTGTCGCACCTCCGCGTAGACGTCCAACATGTAGACGATCGACGACGGACCTGCGTCGCTGCCGATGGTCTTCGTTTGGTGCTTTCTGCCGCGTCGTGAAATCGGAGTCCCAGCAAAGGAAAAGAAATACACAGAGGGAGTCCGAGTGTGATCTGAAGACGAACGATTCAGCGTTGGATTTGGGTGCCCTAGCTTTCTGAATTCGGTAGCGTTTTCTGGTCTTTCATGCCGATCTGTTGAATGGAAGTTGGGTAGAGATGCTTGACGGACTCAGTATAGCTGAATAACGCGTCAGAGGTGACTCAACTCTGCCTCCCCTTTTCTACATAATATTGATTTCTCTGAAATGTTTGATTTCTTAATGTCCATTTGCTGGGTTGGTGGATTGGATTGCCATCTTAATTTGTGTAATTTAGGTTTTGCTTCATTTGGAATTTACAACTCTAATTGGGGTTGGCTTTTTGGGATGTCTTCCGTTTCCCTTTTTTCGTGTTCAATTTCGTTAATTTCCTTCAAATTTCGGAAATTTCCATCTCGTCATTCGTTTCTTAGATTTGATAGGGTCATTTGTCCAGTGATATTTAGCCGATTTCCTGAAATTTTGGTGATTCGGGTTGAAAGTCCGGCTTCATATATTTCGATGCTGATGTGTGTGAATTCATGGATTTTGATGCTGATATGAATCTTTGAACAGTTTTTTTTTTTTTTTCTGATGAGTTTGTCATAAGTTGTTGATTAATTGCTTAAAGTTAGGAGCTTTCAGTGGCATTCAATCAACATAAACATACTTATGCTAATGATTTTTACTAAAGCACCTACTCATGTTCCTCTTAAGATTCTCTCTGTAGAGGATGGTATTGTTCTCAAATCCTTTAACTATCTCCTTCGTCGGAAACAGTTCAACGAAAAGCTTGTAAAGGAAGAAAATGAGAACCTTCACATTCTTGATGCGAGGACTTTCTTGATATCTTGCAGAAGTACTATAATTTATCCATTTGGATTTGTACGTCTGACTGATATCCCAATTCTTTCCTTGTGTCTGTGTTGAGCTTGAGAACTTAAAATACAAAAAAAAAAAAATTAAGGGCAAACACCAAACTGAGGGCAGTACTATTTTCTTTATCCTGCTTCTCAGTCCGATAGTGCACCAAACGTTTCACTAAGTCAGTTCATTTTAGTAAAAAAAACAGTAATCAGTGTTCTTGATTATGCAGGACTGGTTCTGATCTGATCCTAATTTTTCGAGTCCTCAGAAAATAAAAGAATTTAATTTAATTCAATCAATGGAGGGTGACACATTCTCAGGGCTTGGCAATGGCAGCACACAAATTGATGGAAAGGTTCTGCAGACATTTCAGAAGAGCTTTGTGCAAGTGCAGAATATCTTGGACCAAAACAGGGTGCTGATAAATGAGATTAATCACAACCATGAGTCCAAAATTCCTGACAATTTAAGCAGAAATGTGGGTCTGATCAGAGAGCTCAACAACAACATCAGGAGAGTGGTTGATCTTTATGGTGATCTCTCAAGCTCCTTCACCAAATCCATGGATACTTCTTCTGAGGGAGGGGATTCCAGTGGGGCTTTGAAGTCTGATGGAAAAGCTGGGCACAAGAGAATTAGGCCTTCTTAGAGAGAGAAAGTGAGAGAGAGAGAGATTATAATTTGTCTTCCTAATTCTTTTGCATGTTGAGATGGTAGAAAAAAAAGGGAGAAAAATTGATTAGATTCTGTAAACTCTGCTGTATCTGTTAGGTAATAATTTCCCTGAATTGCTGTTTCGCCGTACGTCTTTGTAACTGTGGATCTAATTGAAGAGAAAAAAAAAAAAATTAAGCTTGCTCGTGTAATTTCATTTCTTCCTAATTGGTAATAAAAGTTTATTTTTGTCCTTTGACTTGTCAGTTCTTGACTTATATCAATCTTTTTATGTTCGCGTCTTAGGTTTTTTCATCTTCTCTTCATCCAAGCGATATTCCAAATAACCAAACAAAATAGAGCGAGGAAAATCCGAATTTAGGTGCAGAGGGAGAAACACATTGTTCGTGTCAAATTATTTAGGGAATTAAAGAGTGCTGATATATTCCTTAAGAGCTGTAACGCTTTTATTTAACTTTTGTTGTTTGTCAAAAGGACTGAAAATTTGGTAAGTGTCAATGTATGAATCTCCTTTTTAGATGAAGGGATCAAGATTAACTTTTGATGCAAATTCTTCCACAAAAAGAAAAACCCTTTATTCCCCTTTTTCTCAAAGTTTTCTTCTTGATTTTAACTAAGAGCTGAAGTGTAGAGAGAGAGAGAGAGAGAGAGAGAGAGAGAGAGAGTTGTCAAAGTTTTCTGCTTCCCATGAAGCCAAAACTGCTTTTTCCCACGCTTCTTTTTGCTGTTTTTTATGGATTTTGCTATTGTTTTAAGCATGTGGAATGTGGAGAAGTAGTGTTTGCGTACATAATTGTACAGGCATATGATATACATCTGTGTGAAGATGCTCTGAAATAATTGGAAGAAAAATCAGCTTTTAGACTAATCTTTTGGTTCCCAATCACACACCACCACAAGAACAGAATCTCCAGATAAGAGTTGATGAGCATTTTTGACCATTTTTCTTTTATTTTTTAATTTTCTACTATATTTGCTGTAGTGACAGTCCTTTTCCCAAGTAGTTTAAAACAAGAGTAGCATTTTCTCTTCTTCTAAATCTCCTCTCCTCCTATCTCACTTTTCTCTTCTTTATTTTTATAAAGAAGTTAACATAAGATATAACGTGACTTAATCGTGATCATCTCTAATAAGAAATAATTGAATAGAAGAGAATCTTACTCTCTAAAACAAAGCACTATAGTTCCAAGAGAAGGACAGATATTTATAAACAGTGATCCCCAACAACATGACAAGGGCCCCAAAGCTTCCTCTCTCTTTCGGAGATGGAACTCAACTTCTCCATGCTTATGCTTTATCCCCACACTCATACATAGTTTTATGCAAGATGTCATGTTATTAATATTTCAAATCAACTACGTACTGTTATACGAAAAAAATAAAATATTTGAATAATAAAACAAAGATAAGTAGAAATATGTGAGTGACTTTAGATAACCCCAACATGACAGTGAGATATACACAAGCTATTCTTATTTCCCCTAATGAGGAAAATTTTGTATTGAAACATATACTTTCAATTAATGGCGGATTCAAGATTCGAACTTTGAGAGGTCTCAGTATTAAAGTACAAGCATTTTAGATAGAAACATAGCATGCATCATGAGAAAAAAAATTCAGTTTATTCAATGAAGTATGTCACCAAAAGCTTAGTGAGTTTGTTGTCATCAGTCAAACTATATTACACACATGTCAAAAAATACAACAAATGTTTGCCGAAGCAATCTAAAGAGTGATAACGAGAGACTTCGTTAAGCGTTGTAAACGCAACATATCTTAGTTCCAATGTACATCTGCCTGTGCTCCCAGCTGATCTACCTTTATTTGACGCGTGTCATATGAGAGATACCGATAAAGACATTACATATCCCCTTACCTTTGCATTATTTTTTCGCCTTTAAGCAATAGATGTCCTTTTAAGACTATTTTGATGTTGATGATTCCTTGGCATCTATTTCTCTTTCTCTGATTGAGTACATGTCTCTGTTGATGGACCCATTTATCCTGCAACCTAATTTCCTGATCTTTGGAATGGGGGCCCACACCAGCGATTGCTGTAAATAGCTTGAGTAATCAAGGAGTAGGATTCTATCCTTCTTTGTTTTCCTCCACTTCCATCTCCTTTTATTTGAACGGTCATGATTAAATCACATCAATATTTTATATTAAATTTTTTTTATAGAAATAGAAAGAGAAAATAGAGAATGTGAGAAAATGGGACGGAAGGGAATGAAAATGGAGGAGAGAGAATCTTAGTCCATTCAATAGAGAGGTGAGATTAACTGAAAAATAAATTTAAGGTATGTATTATGGAAAAGAGATAATCTTCGGATTTCTTCCACCAAGACCACCGGATCAAATGATCTGGGTTTTTGAAATTTCATCCAACGGTAAAAAATTATTATAGCTTTTAAGCGATCAACACAGATGGGCCGTTGGATGAAATTTCAAATATCCGAATCACTTGATCCGGTGGCCTTGGTGGAAGAGATCTAGAGAGAGAGGATCTCTTCTCTGTATTATGTATATGTTCACTTGATTGGGTAGATATAGATCGTATCGGTATGCGTTAGGTCTAATCATACTTTGTGTTGTATTCGTATATAGTGTTATGTGGCGTGGCATCGAAATATTTTATACTTATGTAATTAGGGCATTTCCCAATAAAGACGGTATATTTGTTCATATTATTGTATAATTCTCATGTATAAGAACGATAAACTTTTAGTGTTCGGAAAGTGGGTCCCTAATTATAGACCTTGCCAAATAATTCTAAAGTATTTCATCAGTAGGGAGATATCAAGATTATGTTGTGTGCTCTAATTTTGCCATATTCAACTTGACACAGTCTTATGTTGTATTACTATATGATATCCGCTTAATTGTCCGGAATTCTTAGAAAATATTCAATCTAAATTTTTCCTAAGATCACACTAATCCTTGTAACCAAAACACGGTATGTCTCATGCCCAACTAAACTTCATAGAATAAACATCAACAATGAGAACAACAGCTAATCAACAACATTAAACATAGAACGATCACATGTGCTAATTATAATTAGTCACAATAATCTTGATCGCACCGTCAAATCGCGCCCAATATGGGCCGGCCAACAATGCGAATAAAAAAGTTAGTAATCCACTTGATCAAGTTTAATATATAAACTAACACAATTATCCTGCTAAGCAATGACCGTACAATTAATTAACAAATATAGAAGGGTTTGTTAATTGCTAAAAATTAAGGTAATCATGAAGGGCCAGAAAAGTAGAAGATGAGATAATAAGTGGTCCCCCAATAAGCCAGGCCAGACAAATAAAACATTGCTATAACACGTAACATGTGCAGTCCTGCAGTGGGAATCTACTTTTGTGCCCTTCCCTTCTTTTGGGTTGGGTTCCTTGCATCTCCAGCAAACTGCAGGTTGGAAAGGAGCCCATAATGTCTAGTTTTGCCCTTTTTAGCAAACCTTTACTATATTCTTTTAAATTGATTAGACCAAATTCAACCCTTAAGTGCTATTTTTTAGGTTTAATTCCCCTTTCAAATCAATATAATCCATGCTAAATGTGTGGGTAAAAGCTAAAAGGCAAACAAAAGCTAAATTTCCTCCCAGGATTTTGCCTAGAAAATGGTGTGGGCACCACCAGCGGGACCACCTACTATGGGCATGTCTCTCAGTATTTATTAAATCCAACGGCTGATATCGAATATAATTAAATCTAAAGGTAAAAAAAAGATCTAACGGCCCAAATTTAAATTCAACAACTAAAATAATTAAAAAACTATTTAACTCAAAATTCATCCAAATTTAGTGATTTTTCAATATTTATCAGAATTTAAATTAAAAAAAAATTACTTTAATAGAAAAAATTAGCCTAATTTATTCTTTAATAAATTTAGGCTATAAGGGTTGGAGAGGAAAAACTGTTTCACGGCTAAGACCTAAATTTTCTGGGCTAAAAATTTTAGATTTTATCCCAAGGGTTGGAGATAGTCTTAACAAGTCGCAATGAGTCACAACTCATAATTTAATATCGAACTTACTATAAATTTATGCAGTATGTCCTTGTATGTTGTTGAGTTGAACATGAGTCCTCCTCTAACTATGTGGAGTTTATGTGTCGTTAGACCAACGGGTTGTGTGATTTTAGCTTTTCCTTAATCCTACCCCATTTAGTGTAAATTAGGTAATCAGAGTATAATAATCCACTCCCCGTACTTGAAAAGACCTACTTATGCCCTAATGATAATGCCGACAATGATGATGTTAGTCCAATTAATTAGTTTCTTTATCCCTAAGGAAAGAGCTTTGGTGGTGGGTAGACATATTTATCGAGACCCGAAGAATTGGAAATTAACAAAAATCATGTGAACAACCTTAATATTTTAATTATGGGATAAATACTTTGTATTTTTTTCTTCCTTCAGAAATACTAAGGGGATTTTCTCAAAGTAGGACTCTTTATGGATTTTCTACCACATCACAATTTAAGTCAAATTCCGTGCCAATATTCCAAAATATTATGCAAAAAACATGAGGTGTCAGAGAATCTATGGAGAATCCCATTTTTGAGGGAGTGCTCTTAGCATTTCTCTTTTTTTCATAGTGTTGTGTTCGTCACATAAAAGTATGTGAGACGTAATTTTTTACGAGTTTTCATGATTATTTATATTTATTAATCGTCGATGCATATATAACTATTGAATTTAATCAAATAGCTCATACCAAGAAGAAGGATTTAAAAAATATAAACATTTTACTTTTTGACAAACAATATTCTAGTTTTTTTTTAATGAAGGATTTGAATTTGAGAACAAAGGGTCCTGCACACATTGAGAAAAAATTTACATGCAACGTGTTCATCTTTATGTGACATTCTGATTTAATAATACATTGTTATATGAAGAAAAAAAACTTATTAAACCAGAACACTATAGTGAATTAGTGATAATGAACTCGTTCTATATATGTTGGATTTGCTTACGAACTGTTCTACCCCACGTATAAACAATTAGTACCAAATGTTGGCTTCAAATTCTCTATATTTAGCTAAGAACATAATGGAAGGACTTCAGACACATAGTTAACTTGGTACTTATACAACCCAAGTCTTCTAGACATGGACTGATGGAGTCCATTATAATTTTACCACAAGCTGATAACCCAAAAAACTATAATTTTGGGCTTAGATTCTGGATATTTGGGCTTTAGGTCCATGGATAACATATT